AACATGCTATAGTGGCACATCACGCATATGTCATTAAAAATGTGTGCCACTAAATGACATTTCGTTTGTAGTGCCTCCGCCAACATCCCCACGACCATAATCGCCACCACCACCACCACTACTATCACCTCTGACACCAGCTGACCCGACCACTGTCACCTCCGTCACATATACCACCGCTACCTCTGTCACCACCACCTCTTTTGCCACCAATTGACATAATCATATATGATTACTCAATCTGTGAACAGACATATATGTATAATCATCTATGATTAGGCATATACATATAAACATGTATAATCATATATAATTATACCTCTCTGTCATATAATTTATGTGGTTTTTTGCACACCCCTAACTAGGCATAAAGGTTATTTTTTTTTAGAAATTCTACAAATATTGTAAAACAGTTGTTATTAGTGTTGGTCATTTATTTATGGAACGGAAAATCTTATCTACTTCTAAACAACTCTTGAACTCACTTATGTCAAAAACGGGACTTGAACTTTCGCCCTTAAAGAGGGAGGAAAACATCTGATACCGCTGAGCTAGAAACTCTTTGGTTGTTGGAAATTTATATATCGAGCACATAGCTGATCGTGGAACCATATTTTAGGCAACTACCATATGTAAGGAAGAAGAATCGTCATCTAAAAGAAAGCTTATTTATTCAATATTTAATTTGTTTGGTTATGGAAACAACCTTTAAATCCTTATTTTATAAACAAGTAATGCTTAAACATAACTTAGCAACTACAATTAGAAAGAAAAATGGAAAAATAATATTGAAAGTATGTTTTTATTCCTTACTTTGTCAACCGAACACTTTGTTACACAAACTACTCTTGGTTCACATGTGCAAATGAATGCAACAACTAAAAGAAAAGCACCGGGTAACTCTCTAACTTTAACTAATGCATTATCGCATAAAATGCTAAGAGAAGAGTTTCTTTCAACATAATTTGGGTTAGTCCAATAATATTTTTCTCAAGTATTACGATTAACCAACATCCCTATGTAATAAGAGCCATAGTTAAAAAGAATAATAGTCATCATGTAAAGTGGGATGGAAACCCTCATAATATCTTCATAAACAACTTAATTCATTAAGTTGTAGACTTAACAAGAATTCATCAAATTTGGGTTCATCATTAACCCTTTCAATCCATCATGTAATTCACATACAAGCATAGTAATGGACTTCTTAAAACTACTATAACACCCACAAAATGATTTCATCTCCAATTTATGGATTGAACCTAAGGTTTCAGCAAAATCTAAAATTTCCCCAAAATACAACACAATAAGGATGATGAATTGAAGATAGGTTTACCTTAATGTGATGAATTAATGGATTAAACCTTGTTAAACCTTTTCTCCAAGCCTTCGTCAGAACTCTAGAGGTGAAATCTCAACTCAAGTATGTGTTTTGGGGAGAGTATTGACTGAAATAACCGACGAAGGGCTATTCGTATGTTTTAATATGTCGGCATTTATGCGTCGTGTAGCATTTATCTATATACCATGTAGCATAATAATCATCACTTTTATTATAGAAATGTACTTCTAACACGTCGTGTTACCTCTATCCTATGTGTCGTGTATTATCAAAGTATGTTACCTTCTCATAAAATAACTTAAAGGATTTAGGTAAAACAAATAAACTTAAAACCCTTAAGTTCACATGCAACCTAAAGGATCTATGTTTTCACTATTGAGCCTATAACTACGAACATCAAACAAGAAACCCTAGAAACCCTACTTTTTCACTATTGAACCTATAACTATTAACATCAAACTATAGCACAGCTTCATCCCATATACCAAGATATATAACTCAGTCTAGTGGGACGACATTGGTGCCTTCGACCCACGAGTACAGTGAGTAAGGCTCACCTCAAAGTCTAGAAGATATCTGAACTGATCACTACTCCAAATATCGGCTCTACTGGTCACCTATACAAAAAATAGAGACCAAGTCTCAATCTACTACTCAAAATACTTTAAAAGACGTAGAGTCAAGCTTGGTCAAAGTCAATAGTCAACGATCAAAGTCAACACTGCATAGTCACCTAGTCAGTCATCACGTTGTGACCTTAATAAAACAAAACAGTCGTGATACTTTCATTCTGACGTCGAGACACCCTACATATCATGTCATGATAAGCGCTCCGGACATATTGATGTATAAAGCTCATAATCCTTTCAGCCATGCAACCAAAACTTCGAGAAGGTCTTATCTACTTCAGAATATCATAAAAATCGTGGCTTTGTAGACATATTTGTCCAATGAATGTCTCAACACAAGCTAAGTCTAAAATGGTGCAAAATAGGGCCAAGATCTCATGCAAAAACCCAAGGCTTTATAAAACTTTATATTCATGACCTCTAACCACAAATGGACCATCGGGATCCATAAAGTTGACAACTTTATAAAACCCTAACACTCCTACTAACCAGAACATGAAGAAAACCATTGGGAAACCTATATCTAAGCACTTGTAATCATAAATTAAGGAACTCTGAATACTCACAAGGGTCCAGAGTGTAATAAAAGATAATGGTGAGGCATGCAAGTTGAGATGATGTACCCAATGCTCTTCCACTTCTTCATTGCTAGAAATCACTACAAATGGAGCTCAAAATCAATTATGGAGAATTAAGGTTTCAAAGGGGAGTGTTAGGAGGTGACAGAGGCTGAAGGTGGGTTAATAGCCCTCACTTCCTTTAAATACGAGAAAAATCTTTGAAATTAGGGTTTAGATCGCAACAAGTCTCTCATCGTGACCTATAAGTGGTCTCGTCGTGACCATTTAAAGATATGTGTGTTTTCTTCCATCGTGGTCACGTCGTGACACATAAGTGCTCACGTTGTGACCAGGGTTTAAACTAAAATTTCGAGCAAAGGTTCAGAAAAAATGTTTACTAGGATTAGGTGTTATATCTTAGGACCAATTTTATAATATCCTCAAATAAAAGAATTGTTACATAATTTTATAGGACCAATTATATAATATTCTCAAAATATTGGCAACTAATTGAGAATTTTATGGAATTATAAAAAAAATGCATGAGTTTCAAAACATTATTGGTAATCATATGTCTTGTTCAATAATGAAAACAAAGAGTTTTGATTTATTTGACCATCAAATTATAAAAAATTATTCGATTTAGCGATTGAAGATCGGATCACGTGAAGTTGAACCCTAAGTTTAAGTTTCGACTCATTTTGCCACTTACAACCTACTGTAGTCGGTTACTTGGTTCCCTTGCCCATGTGAAATCCTAAATTAGTCTCTAAACTTCAGACCATGCTAAATGAGAACTTAAACTTTGAACTTTTTTAATAAAACTAATTTTTTTTTTCAATTTTTCAATTTTTTTATTCAAAACTAAATTTCATTTTAATTTTTTTTTTCGTATTTTTTATTTGTAAAATTTATTTGTATCTTTTTTTATTTTTCCTCAATTTTTATAACTTTTTTGACATTTTAAAAAAAAAAGTAAATTGTATGAATATATTAGAGTATATTATAATTTTGGTATTTGAGTTTTTGTTTTATATATATTTTTTAATATATTTGGTTATTTATGGTTTTTCTAATGTATTTTTTATTTTTATTCAAGAAATGGAAAAATTTTAACTTCAAAAGAATGAAAAAAATAAAATAAGTTGGATGAAAATTACAAATATAAATATCAAGGTTGCAAAAAACGCTCGACGTTAGCTAGTCGGTGGACTGTGGTCAAGGGATTAATCGGCTAGCCAGAGATTAATCGGGGGATTAATCGGGTACCATTAATTGCTAATTTGTTGAATTTTAAAAAATTAAATATGACTAATATCATTATGTATGCAGGGATTAATCGCTAGGCGCCCTCTAATAGGTCGAGTAGCGCCTAGGGATGAATCGGGACCTAGTCGGGATTTTTACAACAGTGATAAATATATAGAAGGCTAAAATTAGTAATAAATAAGTTTACATATAAATGCCTACATAATTTATTATTTTTGATCTAAACTTAATGTCAAAATGACTAAATAAAAGAAAACTTAAAAACGACTTTTTTTTTCATTATATTTTTTCATTCTTTTGAAGTCATAACTTTTTTTATTTACTTCAATAAAAATAATAAAAAAATTAGAAAAATAATAAATAATAAAAATTCTAAAAATAAAAGAAAATAAAAAAACTCCAAAATTGTAATATACTCTAACGTATTCATATATTTTATATTTTTTGAAAAATATCAAAAACAATTATCAAATCGATCGAAAATTAAAAAATAAAATAAAAATATGAAAAAATAAAATAAATTACTAAAAAAAATAATATCAATTTTTGTTTTTAAAAAACAAATACTAATAAATAAAAAATAAAAAAAAAATCTAATTTCGGGGTTTAATTTAGGATGTGATATGTAAGTATGTGAACGGAAACTTCAACAGATCGTAAGGTAAGGGGTAAAACGAGACTTCAGGATCCAATATCAAGTTATATGACTGGTGGATAGTAAACCCTAATCACCAATTCTTCGACATCTTACCCCGACGAATAAACGACTTGCTGCTTTCCATTGTAAGATGGGTAAGTTTGTAATCTTCATAAACTCTGTTTTTTTGGGTAGTCGATTATCAATAACAACGTATCCACTGGAAAATAGAAATAAGGAAACCGATTTTCAGAAGATTTTGTTACATGAGTTCGAATATGAAGGATGAAATCTAGTTTTTTGCCAGTAGAATGTATATTTTTGTTATCATGCAAGTTGTTTTAAGTTAGGATTTTGTTATCATGCAAGTTGTTATATATGAGTTACATTTCCTGGAAAAAATGCTTACAACCATTAAATCATGAGTTGTGTAAATAAAACAATTTCTTTATCATGAGTTATGTTACAGATCCTGAGATCCTCCATTTATAATTAAGGAAATTAAGAAAACTAATATCCTGACATGTCAAGTTGATCCATTTTTCTTATTGCCTTGTATTTTCTTTTAAATAATTTTATCCTATTTTCTTCTGGATCTAATGACAGAGAATCATAGCGAGGGGCTTGTAACTTGTGTTGAGGAAGATAGAATCAGTAACTTGCCTAAACACTTGATAGAGTCAATCTTAGAGGGACTTCCTGTTCCAGACGTTGTCAAGACAAGCATTTTATCAAAAAAGTGGAGGTACAGATGGACCAAAATGAGGGCGCTGGTTTTTGACAAGCAGTTCTTCAGAAAATATGCAAAATACGGAGCTTTTGGTGGTAATGGGTTTACAAGGATCATAAACAAAGTTCTGATCCTTCACAAGGGTCCTATCTCGAAATTTCTTCTCCATATACCACCTAAATATGAGTTTGATGATAGTTTCGAAGAAGTTGATCAATGGATGATGCTCTTATCAAGAAACGGAGTAAGGGAACTCATTCTTACTGATTCAAATCAACGTTATGAACTTCCTTCTTATGTGTTTTCTTGTCTAGAATTGACAAAGTTGAAACTGAGAAACTGTTTCTTTAAGCCACCACTTAAGATTGAAGGATTTCTCAATCTTAATGATCTTGAACTCTGGAATATTGATTTTAGGGCTAATTTGTGTGGAACTCAGATCAACCTACCACAGCTTAAGAAGTTGTCCATGTCTTGGTGCACAAATGTTTACAATTTCAACATCAATGCTACAAAACTGCAGGCTTTGATTGTCATACGTTGTCCTGACGCCATGTTACTTCGCTTATTGCAGAGTCCATACCTTACTCTGATTTGTGTATCTTTTCAGAAACCCATAGAAGATAATGTACAAGTTGAAAAAACGACATTGCCCATTATGTTAAGTAACTTGCGCAAAATTGTAGTTTTATATCTCGACGGTTTTTTCTTTAAGGTATGATACAAAGTGAACTTCTAATGTTTAAACTTTGGTCTTTTCTTTAGGTAAGTTAATATCTCACTTTCGCTTCACAGGCTTTGATTGCAGAAAAGATTCCAAAATGGCTTCCGCATCCGGTCAATAGTTTAAAGAGATTGTTCTTTGTAGATGTTAAACTTGATGATTTGGATCAACTTCATGGTGCTCTTTGTTTGCTTCGAAACTCCCCAAAACTAGAAAGTCTGTCTGTGATGTCCTTCAACATGGTAAAGTAACTTGTGCTAAAAGTATATTTACTAAAGTTGGATGCTAACCATTGTTGTATTTTTATGTTTTTTCAGAATCCCCAAGCTATTTATTATGATGTGGAACCAGCTTCAAATCATTTGGAATCCCCTAACTGTTTGGATTGTAGATTGCATCGATTGCAAACTGTGAAGATAGAATGTTTAGAAGGATCAAAACCGGAACTGCTTTTTATAAAGCTGCTTCTTGCTCATTCCCCTTCTCTCCAGAAGTTTACCATCACAACAAGTAGAGCTCTTAATGCTAAAAAAATAATTGACATCTGTAAGGATGTTATGCGGTTCCCTCGAGCATCACGAAAAGCAGAAGTGATCTACTCTAGTTAAACCTGTAGACATAATTTTTTAAGAATGTTTAACAACATTGTAAAGTAGGTTTAAAAATTAAACTCTCTACCTTATGAGCATATTTGCATTATCATGTAATTTGAAATGTTCCTACTCGTTTTGATTTTTGCTTCCGTTGCTTCCATTTGGTGTGTGATAATTGATTACACATGTAAATAGTTGTACGCAGGAAGAAGAGACGATCTTTAGGATTTTGAATGAAAGCTATGTTTTACAATTTAAAACTACCATTAAAGGTTTTAGGTGTGGCTAAAGGGTGTTTGGTTTTGTTAATGACAAAGAATATGGAATATTGGTGAATAATACTGGGTATCACACCATTCATTTTGCATTAATGATACTTGGTTAATGTTGAAAGTGATAATCAGAGAAAATCACAAAAATACTCATATAGTATAGCCACAAATTCGGAACTAATCTAGTGCCAAACAATGGTTCACCATATTTAAGGTATTTTTTTTTTTAGAAATTTGTTAAATTTTCAAACTAAAGTGCAAATCATATCAAAATATCTCTTGATCATAATGCAACACTTGGAATTTGCTTCATGTCTCGCAATGGGCAAGCAAGACTCCTAAATTCTTTGAACATGTTTTCTTTGTGTACAAATATATGGTTATTTTTTTAAAATGTGAAATTTACAACTTTGCCTTGCCTTTGCATTGCACGGTTGTATGCATTACAATGTTGTAAAAAGTTACAGAATTATATTTAAATTTTATTGTAAACTAGACGAATGCCAATGCGTTATGGAAAATACAATTATATACTTAAATTATATATGAATATATATGTTATTACAAATTATCACGTCATTATTATGTTTGAAATAATAATTTTAATATTAAATTGTTAGAGATGTGAGGGTCGTGCTAAGCAGGATCCACATAGGGTTTTTAGTTTATTTATTTTTATTTACTTATTATTATTATTATTATTTTTATTATTTTTTTTGTGGGGGGGGGTCTACAAATATTGTAAGACAGTTGTTATTATTGTTGGACATTTAAATATCGAACACATACCATTGTGGGCAACAATATTGCGGGCCACTAACATATGTAAGGAAAAAGAATTTGTCATCCAAAAGAAATTTCATGATTTAAAGACTTTGCTTGGTTATGGAAACAACCTTTAAATCCTTACTTTATAAACAAATAACGCGTTAAACACAACTTAGCAGCTACAATTATAAAGAAAAATGGAAAAATAATATTGAATGTATGTTCTTATTCTTTATATGTAGGACGAAATAACAAATAATTCATCAAGATTTGTGTTGCAATTTTCACACACAATTCTTTTGGAAGAATCATTGCATCTATAATAGATATAAGCAAATTATGTTTAGATAAATTTACAGTTCACATTTTCTTCCTAAAAAGAATATTCCTTCTAAATTATATGAATTAATGGGGTGTTTGAGATTGCTTTTCAAAATAAATTATTAGTTTATTGTCTATGTGAAAAGCTAATAAGTAAAAAAAAACGTGTGACATATTCAAAAACACTTTTAATAGTGGGTTTTCCATTAGCTTTAAAAATAAGATTTAAAAAACATGGAAAATTTTGGCTTTTTACAACTTTTTTTATCTTTTCAACCATAATAGTATAAAAGAGAAAATTTTAATTCATACACTTTTTAACTTATTAATTTTTTCATCACTAAAACTAAACACTTTTTTAAAAACTAATTTTGCCACCACCACAAGTGAATAAATATATTTGTCAAAAAATATTTTGAGTTCAAAAAGAAATCCTAAACAACCCATAATTTCAACAACAAAATTATGTATTCATATAATAAACCTTAAACCTAGATAAAATTAAAATAAAACCCTAAAACAAATTAAAAATATCATATTTGAAAATTAAAATATTGTTTGAAATGTACAAAATATCAGTCTAAAATGCAACTATGTCTAATATATCATTTTAGATGACTTTATATCACATCTCAAAAGTCTTTATGACATTGTGATATAAACTAAAATCCAAAAATAATTAATTCTAAAACATGTCGTTTTAATATGGTTATTTTTTAAAAATTGATCCAAAAAGATCGTATAAGAAAAAAGTAACATCTTTGATGGTAAATTCATGCAATGCTCCATTAATACCTATTTTTTGAAAAGGGAGATTTTTATTCATATCTTTACAAGCTTAAAATATTATTTATATACCCTTATAAGTTTTAAAATTACAAATATATTCACTTCAAACTATAAAACTCATATCTATATTCCAACTCATAATTTAACTAGGTTTAAATTAATATTATATTTAAAAACTTATCTAGATATAAAAATTTCATATGATTGTACTAAAATATTCTTCCTAAATTAAAGACTAGGATTAAACCTAATCAAATATTATAAAACTTCTTGGACGTCATTAACTTCCGACTTCCATTTTCCTCATCGTAGTTACTAAGCTCATTTTCAACTGCCGACAAAACCCAGTTCTCATCTTCTTCATTGCAACATGCATATATCTTCTTCATTTGCCTCATTTTAGTTCTGCGTTCGTTTAACTTTAGTAATAATTATTTTAGTCACTCGTTTTAACTATTTATTCGCGTATTTTAGGAATTTAGGAATTTAATTAATAAAAAATTAATAAGAATAAGAATAATAAAATGATGGAAAGTTGTAGGATCGAATAGATTCTAAAAGATAAAAATCATATTTGAAATGAACTATTGAATGAACACAAACAAGTAAATAAGATCCAATTTTCGATTAGAGAATACAAAGCTCAATTACATGTTACAGTAAGAACCTGGAAAAAGGTATTCTCTCTATCTAACTAACATTCCATTTATATAGGTTCACAACCCAGGGAGTCAGTTAGAGATGGACAAATAAAAATAAGACACCTAAGTAGTGACATCCGGTAAAACTGTTAAGCACATTAATTGTGAAGCTTAGGGTCCAAAGCACTACGAAATGAAACATGTTTTCGTAATTACAAACTAAAGAGTTAATATATAAAACTAACAAACCTTTCTCATTACAACTTAAACACAACATATATACATTTTAAGTCATATCAATCCCCCCCCCCCCCCACTTTGTGTTGAGTTGTGAAAGGAGTCTTCACTTGATTTCTTTAAAAACTTGCGAAGCAAAAGCAATCACTACAGTCTATATCGTAATCCATCATCTTAGCATTTCGGACACTTGTTTGGTTTCAAACGTCAGATTCACCTTGCAAAGCTCCACCTTTGAAAGTATGTTATTTAGGTTAGAAGACTTGTAGCAGTGCTTATCTTACTAGTACAACATCTTGTTCTTCATAATCTTGTTCTCATAAGTTTTGTATGCAACTCTCTAAGGCTCTTATTGTATTTACGCATCCTTCATGTTCTCTATGTCATTTGTTTAAAGACTGCAACCAACAAATGTCTTCTTCTTCACAACATCAACAAACTCCACATCTATTCTACAAACTTCAATGATCTTATCATCTTCTTCAAATGAAGAGTCTGATTCATATACTTGTCCTTTTATTTGTTGAAGATCATAAACAACACAAACCAATCATGAGCGTTCATTATAGGTAAATCATCGAAGGAGAAAAAAACTCCTCATGATTACTGTCCCTCAAAGCTTTAAATTTATAATTCACGAATTCATCATTCATGCAGCTTTCGGCTTGAAACTCTTTGATAGAAACAATCTTCTTCAAACTCCTTCCTTTGTATTGATCCATATACTGCAAAGTATAGAACTCAAATAGCTTTTTCTTCTTAGTACTATTGTTTAAAGGAACACCAACAATGTGTGAAAAACTTTTGAACAGAAAAGCCTTTGCAGTCATAGGAAAGTCCAATTAACAATCCACTTTATTCTCAAATAGGAATGATGATCTAGGATGCAACCAATACTTCTACAAATTTTTGATAGCCTCATTCATCATTCAATTAACATTCTGCTCAGGCCAAAAAGCTTTTAATGTCCTCATTTTCTCTTTTCTTTGCTTCTTGCTATTGTAATTCAATTTCCAACTATTGCAACCTTTCAAGATCCTCATCATTCTTCGCTTGTGCTTCTTCATCATTAAGATTAACTTGTAGTTCATTAAAAATCTTCAAAATACCATAACCAGAAGCTTCGGTTGGAATAACAGGAATAATACCTTCCGATTGTTTCCCAAAGATTAAGTACCAATAACTATCTTCCTTGCAACCTCATACATCTTTTTCATATTTTGAACAACATAAGGGTTCACAATGTTGATATTACCTCCATATCCTCATTGTTTCCAATTAGCATCGTTATTCGAAACAACCTCAAAAAGAGATAACTTGAAGAACAAAGTTTGAAGCTTCGTATCCAAAAGAGAAGCAATATAGTCAACATGGGGAGTATCATTCTCTTCAACTCTCTTCACCAACCTTTGATTTATCTCAAAGTTGTGGCCCTTTACTAGCAACAGTTTACCATCCTTCCTGACCAACTTAGTCTTCACATACATTCACATACAATTTCAACATCAACGCTACAAAACTGCAGGCTTTGATTGTCATACGTTGTCCTGACGCCATGTTACTTCGCTTATTGCAGAGTCCAAGCCTTACTCTGATTTGTATATCTTTTCAGAAACCCATAGAAAATAATGTACAAGTTAAAAAAACAACATTGCCCATTATGTTAAGTAACTTACCCAAAATTGTAGTTTTATATCTCGACGGTGTTTTCTTTAAGGTATGATACAAAGTGAACTTTTAATGTTTAAACTTTGGTGTTTTGTGTAGGTAAGTTAATATCTCACTTTCGCTTCACAGGCTTTGATTGCAGAAAAGATTCCAAAATGGCTTGCGCATCCGGCAATAGTTTGAAGAGATTGTTCTTTGTAGATGTTAAACTTGATGATTTGGATCAACTTCATGGTGCTCTTTGTTTGCTTCGAAACTCCCCAAATCTAGAAAGTCTGTCTGTGATGTCCTTCAAGATGGTAAAGCAACGAGTGCTAAAAGTATATTTACTAAAGTTGGATGCAAACTAGTGTTGCATTTTTATGTTTT